TTTTTTTTTTTCAACAAATAATACACTGCATATATTCTTCTTAGTGGTTAATTGCTGTATGTATTTCTTTTTGAGACAGAGTTTTATTAAGCAGTTCAGGCAGCTCCAACCCACAGTGATCCTCCTCCCTCTGCCTCTCATGTACTGGGATGACTGGCACTGTCCCACCACTACTCTCCACGCTCTTCTGAGCCAGATTTCTGGAAGATAGTCTACCTCCATTTCCTCAGCACACCCACCTACTACTCCTTTTCCCATTCTGCTCAGCCTTCTGCACTCACCACTCTCCTGTGACCTCAGTTGCTGAATCAACCCTCTGTCTAATTCTAATGTTTAGTCCTTATCATCCTTGATCTCAATAAAGTTGTTTTGTTTGTTTGTTTTTGACAGGGTCTTGCTATGTAGTTCAGGCTGGTCTTGAGTTCATTATGTAACCCAGGCTGGCCTCAAACTCATGGCAATCCTCCTGTTTCAGCCTCTTGAGTGCTGGGATTACAAGTGTGTGCCACCACACCTGTCACTCAGTAAAGCTTTGACTTGGTGGCTCAATTCCTCTTCCCAAAGCTCTTCCTTCCCTTGAAGACAGGGCATGCTCTTGGTTTTCTACTTGTCATTTTCTTTTTTGCAGAACAGGAGATTAAACTCAGATCCTTGTGTTTGCCAGTCAAGCGCTTATCCTACTGAGCCATCTCCCTGGCCCTGACACGTTTTCTTTTCCTGCAAGGACTCTGTCTCTGTCCCTATCCCCAGATGGACCTCAGCTTCCCTCCTGTTCATCTGTGCACATCCCCCTTAGCTCAGTGCCATATAAATGCTACCATCTTCCCTACCTGTCCCTCACCCAAACCACTCTTATAAGCCTGAGGCCTGGATATCCGCATAAGCTGACAGGGCACAGTGGACTGTAAGAGGACGGCTAAGTTTGAAATCCCCAAAATGAATTTATTACTTTTCTCCTTAAACCTCTCCCTAGTCTTCCCCCTTTAGCCAGGGATTGAATCCAGGGCCTTTGCACTGAGTTACATTGCCAGTGCCCCCCTTTTAAATTTTTATTAATAAGGAGTCCCACTAAATATTTAAATTGCCCAGGGTGGGCTTCAACTTTTGATCCTCCTGCTTCAGCCTTCCAGAGTGCTAGGATTACAGATGTTCACCATAACATCCAGCTTTGTCCCAGTCACGGCAGCTTGTCTTGGTTACTTTTCTCTCATTGCTGAGACAAAATACCTGATGCCCAGTGAGGAAAGAAAGATTTACTTAGCGCTCAGTTTGTGGAGATTTCAATCCATACTCAGCTGGTTGCAAGGCAGAGTGGCACATGGGAAACAGTTTACAGTGGCCAAAAACAGCAAAAGCCACAATATAACTCTGTAGCATAAGCGCCTGCCTAGCAAGTGCAAGGTCCTGAGTTTGGTCCCCAGTACCAAAAAAAAGCAACAAGAGAAAAAGGGAGGGGCAGCAGAGAGCAAGCCTCTATCCTTTCCTTACATTGTATGCAGGCAGGCTACCCACCCCAGGGTGGGTGGAGAGCACTCACATCTATAATCCCAGCATTGAATCATGATTTAATCATAAACTCTAGGGGGCTGGGGAGATGGCTCAGTAGAATAAGTGCTTTCCT